GGCGGCGGGCCCGAGCCAACCCAGCAGCAGCACAGGGACGGGAGGCTCAGGGCTGAGGCGGGAGAGCGGGGGTGGGAAAGGAGTGGGCCCAGGCCCGACGGGGGGAGGAAGCTAGCTCCTCCCCTCCCCCCGCAGCTGCTCTGTTGGGCTGGGCCAGACCGGGCCAGGCCCACTGTCCCCCAGATACTGCTGCGGCAAGCCAGCTTTTCCCCCAGCTCTCGCTCACTCCCCCACCGCGTCAGGCCCAGGCCCAGTCCTTCCCTGCCCCCACCGTCACACTGACACCACGGTGCACCTTCCCCCCCTCCCTGCATCGAGCCTGCTCGGGGACAAGAGTGGGCTTGGGGCTGATGCGAGGGAGGGGAGTGGAGGAGAGGTGGGCCCAGGCTCAAGCAGGGAAGGAGGAGGCCTGTTCCTTCCCTCCCCCAGCCGCTCCCATGTTGGGCCAGGCCTCCTGTTCCCCCCCATCTGCCATTGCAGGCCGGCTTTTCCCCACTCAGGCCTGCTCTGATTGGCTGTTTGTCAGCTAATCAGAGTGCAAATAAAGTATTACAAACAGATAGACAGACAGACTTAGGCTTTTATAATATTAGAATGATGGTTATAATAATAAAGCTATGGTTATAATGTATTTAGAAAAATAACTGTCTGTCACAAATATATATGTATATATGAGAACATAATTAGTGTTAATGAAACATCACTAAATGGTGAATTGTCTTTTCCATTAAATTTTCCTACAGCATTTCCTTTGGAATTTACTGGCATGGGGCTAGCAGGTGGATATTTTTACATGAACTTAGACTTTAATAAAGAATTCAGATTGACTTCAACAAAGAACTCAAATTGCATGTAATACTATTGGAAAATATTTTATCTAATTACCAGGGCAACTTTTAAAAGGTAATGATGAGAGAAGCCACTTAAACCAAAAATTATTGTCTTCAAATTCCTTTTTCTCCCCCTTTATGTTTTCCTGAACAAAGTGGGTTGCTGAGGGGCAGTGAGGAGGGAATTACTATCATTGACGCTGGGTCCTATATAAACTATGCTTTACTTTTTTCACATAAATAGTTTTATTGACTTGAGAGGAAATACTCACATAAGTACTTGCGGGAGAATGCCCATGGAAAGACACTGTGTCCTAAGTTATATTTCATTTTTCCACTTTATCCTTCTTCAAACCACTCTTTAAATATTCACCTCTGCTCTAATGCCTAACAATCCCTACCAGCTGACAATGCTTAGGCAAATACTGAACACTGAATTAAAATTACTGCCTACCAGCTGCTTGTTTCAAATTTTTCTTATGAGTTCTCCCCTACCCTTTTTTCCATTCCAAATGTTTCCTCTTGTCATATACCAAAGAGTGAAATGGAAATAAAGTACAAATTTTCTATTTAACTTTAGCAAAACCATTAGCAAAATGTAGTCTGTATTTCCAATCAAGGCTCTAACAACTACCACAAATGTAATCTATAATAACAAAAACAAGCAGGGCATTTTGTTTGGAAAGTGTGCCCTCCTGGGAATTTTTGGACCTCTGTACCCAGCCAAATAAAATTATCTACATTTCTAGGAGGTAAACAAAAAGACATGCAATGACTAATACGTCATTTACCCTTTAGTCGAAGAAAAAGAACAAACAAACAAACAAGTCATTCAGCTGATTTAACTGCATACGAGTAAGTTTCCTCCACTACTGACATTTTTACTGAGTTTTAGTCTGAAACAAAAGGTTCATAGACTTGGCCTTTGAAAATAACTGATAATTAAAGAGCAACAAATCAAGTGCTACATTAGGTTAAAAGTCTATTAAAATAATCTACCATTCCAAAATCTTTGTAGAACTAAAATGTACATCATAAATAAAAAGCAAAAAGAAGTCTCCAATTAAGGCAACTTTAGTGCACATGCCATAAGCCTACATGTAATAACTACTCCGAGGAATTGTGCATTGCAGCAGAAACACCCAGCTGCACACACATTTGATACACAATGAATCAAATTCTGGACACAAAAGCCTAAGTCAAAGTTTAACATTTTCTGTAGAAATATTTGTAAAGTAAACGTAGCAAATATGATTGAATGGAAAAAGCTTTAGGTAAGATCTCAGGCTTTGCTTTTGAATGTGATTCAAACAAATTTGGATGAAGTTGGAGACACTTACACACGGCAAAATACAACACTCCTAACTACACTTATCCATTCTAGTCAACTTCCTTACCAAGTCCTCTTACTCTACATCTGTGTCTATTTATCCCAACTCAGCCTCACCTCCATGATCTTTATCTCTATTAAGGTCCATATAACAGCAGTATAACAAATGCTTGTAACATTCAGTTTTTTGTAAAGGCCCAGGTTCTGGTATAAGCTTATTAAACAGTTTTTTTCAATCTTCATTTTAAGTACGTTTGTTTCCAGAGCTGTAGACAGAAGTTAGAAAATGTTAAATTTATACATTTAAATCCAAGAATTCAAAGAAAAAGGACGTCAAATTTATTTAAATGATTTTAAAGTCAAATCTCATGGGTTTTTGGGATCCAATTCCCAACTTTTTTTTTCCAGTGCTTGGAATTAAAAATAATGTTCTAAGTAATAATGAGTTCTGTTATCCTCCCATCACCACTCCCCAACAGTACAATTCCTCTTCCCCCAGGGCATTTGGTGCACTGGATGAGATATATAACATTTCTGGAGGTGCAGC